TTGGAATTATTTCGATAAAAATTACAAGTGACGTAGTTATCTCCTTAAAGCGACTGGATAGTTCCGGGCTGTGCACAAATGCTCTATTCGGGGACTTTTCAATAAGAGTTGTTTATGCAGCTCTTTCATATAGGTTCTTCTATGTATGAGTTATACCAAGTCCGCAGGCTTTAGTAGCTATAAAGCACTATTCTTTGCATTTCACCACACCGAATTCATGATCGGGGCGTAGGTTGATAGATGTAAATAGATGTTAGCATGGGAATTATTGGATTGTGAAATCAAAATATGAAGATCTGTCAGCTCAGTATCAAACCAAATTGTGCCGGATTAGACTAAATCCCGATGAACGTACATGCAGGGGTTGAAATAGCCACCCCGATAATATGCTTAAAAATTATTGGATTGTGAAATCAAAATATGAAGATCTGTCAGCTCAGTATCAAACCAAATTGTGCCGGATTAGACTAAATCCCGATGAACGTACATGCAGGGGTTGAAATAGCCACCCCGATAATATGCTTAATTCAGTTCAGGTTCATTGTGGAAAAGCGAACACGTCTCTAAGACTTGAGATCAATTCCCCTCTTATCGCGACCACCAAATCTGAGGTACGTTAATGAAAGTTTTATAGAACAAACGCACGTTCCGGTTCTTAGATAGTATAGTTGTTAACATTGTATCTTACGCACGTTCCAAACTAATGACCACTAATGAGTACTAAGTCTTTGTGTACCGCTTTGGTTCTGGAAACAAACATCATCAAGCTATGGACCATGCTTAGAAATACATGGTTTGGTGTCTTTTACTGTTGACGGTTAATTTTTCCCACTCTGACGGTTGAACGTTTGACGGTAATTGAGTGGAAATTTATAGTCCAAGATTTTAATTGCTATGTTTTGGAGGTTGTCTTGGCCTTTACACCTCAGTTAAAAATCTTAAAATCTTTTCAGTTAAAGCAAGTTGTACGGTCTTGTTATGCTTAGAGAGAGCGTTTTGAAAACATGGGAACTTGTTTCCCTTTCCAGTTTAGAGATTCTCCAGGACTGAGCACTCCAGTCGGTGAAGATCAGCTGAATAGTGAGATTTGAAATACCATGAAACTTTTTGAGGATTAATATTAGTCTGCATTTTTGACACATAACCTGCTGACGGTTAAATTTTAGGCCGTTTGACGGCTGACATTGATACCCTCTGACTGGACAAAGGTGGCGTCGCAAAATGTCAGCTATCGTCTCAAGCTAGAGTAACGTCTGCCAATAGCTAATTCAAATATTGTTGAGACTAATTACATATTTTTGTGCGAAATTACTACCAAAAACACGAGCGTCCGACAGGATCAACAGGCCTTCGTAACCGAAAAATTTTTATGAAGTTACTTGACCCAACCCATTTGAGTGAAGCCGGGGGGAGGCAAGGTGACCGGCAAAAATTCTAAGAACATTATTTTCGTTTCACTTCTATCTTGTTTTACGTTGAGTTATCATAGAACTTTCTCTATGATAAAAGACTGAAACAGTTTACAGCATAATGAAATAAATCAGATCGTGATTAGAGAATTGTTGTTTTAGGGCCTTAATCAGTCTGTTGTCACTCTTACCGAGACATAAATCGGAAGCCGTCGTGAACAAACAACAATAATGGGAAGTCGTTACGTCACGTTGCCATGGTGGTAAAATGTTTGGATGACAACAAACCAAAAACGTCACTTAAAAAGTGAATTCTCACCGTTTCAAAATTCATCGATCTCATTCAACTTTATTCAATTTGTCAAATGTTGGCGAAATTTTCTGGGGGTTGAATCCGAAAGGATCGTATCTAAGTTTAGGAAAAGAAAAAGAAAATTTTGTGTTGTGTTCATCTACTCCATAAAGAGGGCGCGTGAAATTAGAAGTTTCAGGAGCCCATCATTTGATGGGCTCCTGGAAGTCAACCTCGTCCCCAGGGCTTTTCCCTTAAAAAATAAGGGAAAAGCCCTGGGGACGAGGTTGCCTGGAAGTTTCATGTCGCAGTCGTGCAACGACGGCTAAGAAATGTACAAAAAAGCGTGATGCACGTGCAAAAATATTGTTTTGCTAATCTAAACCTATTGCTTGTTTGCCGTTCTCGTTCCCGTCGCCGTCGTCGTTGCTTAAGCTCCCTGTTGTTGTGATCCAGAAATTTTGGTACCATGGTAACCTAACGTCACACTTCTCCTCTCTATTGAGGTTTGTGGGTAATATAACTGACCACCTACCCCTCCGCTGAGTCACAATTTTGCCCTAACTGAAAATTAAGTGTTAACGTTGACAAAGGGGTAACCTGTGTACAGACGCCCCTCTCTCCTCAGGAAAAACTTTATATGAGGGAAGGGGGGTCGTCTGTACACAGGCTACCTTATTACATTACAAAATTTTCGCGACATGTTTATTTCGCGATTTGGATGTGCGCATATTTCGCGACACTTAAATGTCGTGATCATGTGAAAATTTTATATTTTGAATCACTTTAATTTCGCGTTTTTGAGTACAGCAATTTGCATTTCATAGGCAATGTTATTTAACATGTCTTTGAATTAAATAAAACGGCTTTATCAAAGGAAAAATAACGTCAAAACTAAGAAAAACGCAACAGCAGGAAAAAATATCAACAGTAACAACAAAGCAGTTCTCACAACGTTCACAAGCAGTTCATGTTTGTACGTGAATTATTATTCTTTAGTTAATTGACCACAACATCCATTTACACTGAAAATTCCTCAGAAAGTAAAAAATGTGATTTTGTAAACGTTTCAGTGGTAATAAACTCGTTCTATCTTTATTATGGACATCATGTGAGTCACTTAATTTTCGCGCCATGTTATGTTTGCGACATTTATTGTTCGTGTCACTTTAATTTCGTGATTTTTTTTGGATCGCAAAATTCGCAAAATTAACGTGTCGCGAAAACTTCATGTAATAAGGTAACTTAGGAGAGGGTTCCAATGATGAACTGCCTTAGTTTTCGCATAGCCTGCGCGCAGACCCGAGATTGCATTCGACTTCTATAATTTATTATGACATCACGAAAAATCAAAGAAACTCCTCTAAACCCACGGATGGACACCAAAATTCATAACCCTAACGTGGCACAGGGCGATGGATGAGGGAAAACCTCCCCTTACCTACACTGTGAGCAGTCTCCTTTCTACTAATTATAGGCCTGGCTGACTTTCATTTCCAAATGTTCTGAAAAATTGCACGCATGACTAGTACGCACTAACCTCACCAACAATTTGACCTCTTAAGCTTTTTAGGTCACCTTAACAATGCATAATTGATTACAAGGGGTAGAGTGGTCAAACTTGTAGGCCCTGGCCTACAGGTCTAGAGGCTGGCTACGCCCTTGANTCGCTGAGAAGGAGTTCGCTTCTGTGTCTTGGGTGGGGGGCTGGTCCGCGTTGTCGTGTCTGTCAGGTCGGAACGTGCGGCTGTAATGTCATTTGAAATGGCCTCCACCTCTGACCATTCACATTTGAGTTTAGCATGTACCATCCAAAACGTTAAGGGTAAAAAGGCCAAAGATAGATGAAGTAAACCTTTTGCTGCTTTAGTGCTCTTTCAAATGTTTTTTTGCCTCTCTTGACTCAACTGTTTATGTGCTATAAGCTGGAGTGTTTGCTTTTAAAGTGGGTTATGACGGCATTGACGTCACAATACAGTCAGTTAGGGTGGTTGCAAATTGATCTCGTAGCCACAGTAACCGACTAAACGGGTGGATTATGGTGGATTTATACGTAAAACCGTGACAAAAGCCCGTTGGATTCTTTTTATACAAAGCTAAAAAAAATAATAATAAATTTTAATGGTCAACGGCTATACGCGTATGCCTCAAATAAATCCACCTTAAATTTGTTCTAAGGGAAATTTCTAAAGGGAAATTAACATGTTTAGAAACACTTTTATAAAGTCCGGGATTGCGCTTCACACTTTTATAGCCTTCGTAGCAGGCGCTTGGAACGGACGCGCGAGGGAGACACGCGTGTCACCCTCGCGTGCGTCCGTTCTTTCTTGCACCCATCAATTTCTAGCGCGTGCCACGCAGGCTTCTCTTTTAGAATGGCTTTTATTCAGGCAACAATACAGACGACTTGAAACGAACCTATGACCATTCTTTTTATTTGCATTTTTATCATCCAGTGACATACACTTTTTTTTTTAAACCAACGCTTAATGTTTATTCTTTTCTCCACATAAATCTAGACTTGGTAAGTGCCATCCTCCGGCGTCATTGTCTAACTCTACCCACGGCCTTGATTGAGTCTAGCCCAAAATTTGAATCCATAATGTAATATATATAACTATACAGTGGCAGCCAACGACCGAATCTTTCCGGACAAGTCGGAATTAATGTCAAAGGTGGTTTTCTCTAAGCCCGTTTGGTTAATTTAGAGCCAGCATGCCATGAAAACTATTTTTATCTGTATGTTTTAGGGGAACTTTGGCCGTCTCGATTTAAAGTTTTAGCTATCCCGACGGGTCTTGTCGAAACTGCGAGGGTGCACCCGAAGTAAACATGCATGTTCTTTCTAATCTCGTACCCAGATCTCACTCTGTTTTACACTTGGCCGTGGGAGATCTGGGTTCGAGATTATGTTATTTCATTACAAAATTATAGCTAGGGGATGATTCTTCTTTGTACCGAAATTTCCACGTGACTTTTTTTGCCAATAACCTTCCAAATCTTGGAAATCAAATGTGAAAAATCCAAGTTCATCGGAAAACTCCGAATATCTTAGACGAATGGAACTGTTACTCAGCAATTTTTAGCCTTTCTTTTGCTATAGAAATTTCGAGGCAATATTTGCTCCTTCGAACAGATATTTACAGAAAACATTCGTTAGGTGCCCCTGACTATAGCTGCCTTAAATACTAAGAGCGTAATTATTAGTTTTCTTGATTCTTACTGAAGTCTTAAAATGATGTTTATGACGGGAGAAATGAGGCATTTTATTTTATTGTATTTTGGCTTTTTGTTTCAGAATGGGGACGGCAAAGTGGGGTTTTGCCTTAATGACATTGACAGTGCTTCTTATGTTCTTTACTCGGTGCGATGGCTGGGGATTCCGCCACAGTAATGTTAAAGGTAGGAAGAGAGAACCACAAAGAATTCTCCTGGACAAGTATCAAGTTACCTCGGACGACCACGACAGCCAAAACGTGCAGTATGATAACAACAGAGAAGAATACAAGGACCAAACACTGCCCCAGAAAAAGTACGATACTTACGACAATCGAATAGTTCCGGAGATTTATTACAGATCCGGCTTCGACAACTATAGATTGTCATACGACAACTTTAGGGTCAACAACAACAAGCCAAAAGCCCCCCTCGGCAACTATAGAGCCCCGTACGATAACCCAGAAGTCCCCCTCCGCGACAACTATAAAGTCGCTGATGAGAACCAGTTAGTCTCTAATGTCTTCGACTACTACAAGAACGCTGACTTCTTAGTACCAGGAAAGCGCCCGCGAAAACGAAGGATGTCTAACTAACAAAGATGTTAAAAACAGTTAAAAAGCCTCTTCCAAAGAAAACAAATATTCAAAGTTAAAAACCGATTATAGATGTAAATTTTTTTGCAATTGCTTCATATAAAAACCTTAGTGCCTGAGAGTCTAGTCTAGTAAAAACGACGGATCTACTTAACAAAGAAGCTTTGATAAATGCTTTTTTCCATGCGTGGAAGTTGAGTAAGTCGACTTTTAATGTCCCATTCACACCAAGTCTTAAATATGTTTAAAAGTTGGTTAGTAAACAGGTTAAGATTGCTTCCCTCATAAAGCTGCTTATTGACTTAAGTTGACTACAAGTGTAATGCAAATTATGTTTAACATGTTGAAGTTCATTTAGATTCTGCATAAATGGCCGTGTCCCAGTTCTCCATGTCTGTTTTTCATTTCTAAAAGCTTTTTTAAATTAGACATGTTTAGTTGGTGTGAATGGGGCACATCTCTATTTGAATTACTCAATTATTTACAAAAACTTTACAATACTTGAAAATTACAAATGAATCCTAGATAATAAGTCGAAAAATGATTTTTAAGATAATATTAAAAATTCTATATAACATATTCATATTGAAATATGTTAAAATATAAAGCATGAATATAAGTGGGATTAAACTACAGCCCGGACTGTTTCGACATCGCATATATAAAAGTATTACTTGTTCTGTTCGTGCAAAGCTTTGGCATATTAAAAAGGCGCTGTCGTCTTTAGCTTAGGTTATAGCGTGAGTTGTCATAGTCTGGTGGAAGGAGCGCCTTCAATTTATGGTTTGGATCACTGAAAATGTTATCAAAAAGCCTGCTACATAGTACATAATAATGCTCCAAAATGGGTGTTAACCCCACCTCTATTGCCGAGTCGCACTTTCCTGAGGTTATTATTGATACATTTCATAGGCAATGTTATTTAACATGTCTTTGAATTAAATAAAACGGCTTTATCAAAGGAAAAATAACGTCAAAACTAAGAAAAACGCAACAGCAGGAAAAAATATCAACAGTAACAACAAAGCAGTTCTCACAACGTTCACAAGCAGTTCATGTTTGTACGTGAATTATTATTCTTTAGTTAATTGACCACAACATCCATTTACACTGAAAATTCCTCAGAAAGTAAAAAATGTGATTTTGTAAACGTTTCAGTGGTAATAAACTCGTTCTATCTTTATTATGGACATCATGTGAGTCACTTAATTTTCGCGCCATGTTATGTTTGCGACATTTATTGTTCGTGTCACTTTAATTTCGTGATTTTTTTTGGATCGCAAAATTCGCAAAATTAACGTGTCGCGAAAACTTCATGTAATAAGGTAACTTAGGAGAGGGTTCCAATGATGAACTGCCTTAGTTTTCGCATAGCCTGCGCGCAGACCCGAGATTGCATTCGACTTCTATAATTTATTATGACATCACGAAAAATCAAAGAAACTCCTCTAAACCCACGGATGGACACCAAAATTCATAACCCTAACGTGGCACAGGGCGATGGATGAGGGAAAACCTCCCCTTACCTACACTGTGAGCAGTCTCCTTTCTACTAATTATAGGCCTGGCTGACTTTCATTTCCAAATGTTCTGAAAAATTGCACGCATGACTAGTACGCACTAACCTCACCAACAATTTGACCTCTTAAGCTTTTTAGGTCACCTTAACAATGCATAATTGATTACAAGGGGTAGAGTGATCAAACCAAAAATTTGTAGCCCCTGGCCTACAGGTCTAGAGGCTGGCTACGCCCTTGACTGAACCCTACGCGCTCACTGTCTGAGAACTCGGCAGATCTAAGAGAAAGGGCGGACTGCAAACAGTCTGCCCCTCATCTCTCACATGATAAACCGTTGACATGATATAAAATAAAAAGCCAGCGATTATGAAAATATTATGGGATATTGTGCCGCTTGGGGTGGGGGGGGGGGGGGGGGGGGGTTTTGGGGGGTACTTGGTATTAAAAGAGCGCCCACCTCTCAGTCCTTCATTTTTGGTTTAGGGTGTATTCAAAAAAACTGGTAATAGTAAAAACCCAAAAAAAGAAGAGAGCACACTTTGCTCCTCTTTGCTCCACTAAAACATTTTCTTTTTCCTCTTGTGC